CTAAACCGAGTTAGGATTTCTTATCCAAATGATTTCCTTGAAAAACTCGCAAAAAAATACCACCAACTGAGCTCTCTAGGTCCAAAAAATGAGAACGAGATCAAACCCTCAAAATTAGGCCTTTTTTTGCCCAGGGACCTCGTTTATGTGGGCAAGGGGCCGCATCTGCGACGCCCCACCTGCGGTAAAAGCATCGCAGGTGTGGTTACAACTTAAATCATGACTTTTCGGTTCTGCGGACCAAACACACATCTGCGCAAGCGCACTGCGAAGAAAAGGCACTTATGCGCACACGCTTTTGCGGACGTGATCCGCTTCTGTGATCCCAGGCCTTCCTGGCTATGTCCTCAAGTGTGACCACAATCCTCGCACCTGCTAGCTCATAGATGCAGAAGGAGCCTCGCATCTGCGATTCCTGCCTGGCTCAAAGCCCCTCGCTTCTGCGATCAGCCTCTCGTTTTGCATGATCGCACTTGCGGCTAAACCCTCTGTAGGTGCAATGACACAGGAACAACAATGTTTCAGCAATGCATTAAGTTCAACATTATTTTGGATTCAATCCAAATTACAGTCGTGGCCCCCGGGACCCCGTCAGAACATTTCAACAAGTTCCAAAATACATATTGGACCGACTCGAGGCCAAATATAGCATTAAACAACATCGATTCCACGAATCGCAATCCAATTCAAGCCTATTAAAACTATGAACTTCCGAAATACAAAACTAAAGCCGATTCGTACAAAAACCACTCTAAATGACTTCAAATTTTGCACACAAGTCACAAGTGACATGAAGGACCTATTCCAACTTTTGGAGTCGGAATCTGACCTTGATATCAACAAGGCCAACTGCCACTCAAACTTTCCAACCTTCCAAACCTTCAACTTTCTAATTTCACCAATTCAAGTCGAGACGGCCTACGGTCCACCAAATAAACATCCGGATGCTCTCCTTACTCCAAAATCACCATACGGAGCTAATGAAATTGTCAATACCTCATTCCGGAGTCATCTACATAAAAGTCAAATTACGTCAACTCTTTCAACTTAAACCTCCAACTTAGGGACTATATTTCTCATTTCACTCTAAATCACACCAGAAACCAAAAACAAACATCCCCAGAAAATCACATAGCCATAATAACACATATAGGAGGAAATAAATAGGAGATCGGGGCTAAAATACTCAAAATGTTCGGTCGGGTCGTTACATTCGCTCCCTCTAGGATTACAAAAAGATAAATGAAAATTTTAAAAGTTACCTGCCATTAACATACAACTGATTTTTATGGTCTTTCTTTTGCCACCAAAATCAAACTTTTATGGCACTTTATCGGGCTTTTTTTCATAGTAAGAACCATCTTTTGTGACCTTGAATATATATGAAAAAATAACGGACAAACACTAACAGTAATCTATAGAATAACATGTAATCTTCAGTTCCCATAAATTAAGAAATATGATAAAACTAAAGAAGAATGACAGTATTTTAATCAAAACAATGGATGCTCAAAATCATATATAAAGTAAGTGGTATTTAATTTTAAAAACCTAAATATATTATTTTAGTCCTAAACTTGTACATGTTTTACTATCGTTATTTGCAATAGGAAGATGTTGCTTTAATGTTGTTATATAAGAGATCAACGACTTTAATATTCATAAATTGTTAGAATTTTTTAGTTAATTAAACAAACTCTATTCATTTTTGTCATTATTTATGTTGCAATAAACTAGAATCTTTCAAGTTTCCATGTTTACCTAATTAACGTTAGGTACGTTTTTTAAGTTCTCTATTGTTTCTTTTTGTTAGAATAAGAAAATCATTTAATTGATTTTAAAGGCTTAAACCTAATGCAAATGAGAAACAATTTAATAAACTAAATTTATTTGATTTTAATGTCCAAAATATTTACAGATCTACTAAATGACAATATTATTCGATGTCAAATCATGTTTAAGGGGTATAAATGGCGAACGAAATTTCACTAAGGGCCTTCGTACTTTTAATACAGTATATATATAGATAGATAGATATAGATATAAATTACTACTCCACTACTTTTCCTTATCTTCGAATTAGTACTAATCTTCATATTACATACGTACTAATCTGTCACGACCCGAATTTTCCACCATCGGGAGTCGTGATGGCGCCTACTAGTGAGAGCTAGGCTAACCAACTAACTGAATTATTTGACTTGTTTCCATTTTTAATTTCATTAACGACTTAGAACCAACAATTTATAACCACATAATTTAACAAGCGGAAGAATAAAATTCAAACTTAAAAATACTGCTAATACAATTCCTTAACAAAACTACCCAAGATTTGGTGTCGCAACTTCACAGACTGTCTAAGAGTACTGCAAATAAGGGTCTGAAAGAAATAACAAAATACTGTCTCTGGAACTACATAAGAGAAGCAGGAAAATAGATAGTGGGAGCGCCAAGGCCTGCGGACGCCTGCAGGACTACCTCGGGTCGCCTGATAAGCAAGAAGCTGAAACCTCACTTCGGTTCGAAATCTGCATCACTGGGATCTACACAAAAGAGTGCATAGTGTAGTATCAGCACAACCGACCCAATGTGCTTGTAAGTGTCTAGTCTAACCTCGGCGAAGTAGTGACTAGACTAGGACCAGACTACCAAATAACCTATGCAATTAATCCATATACAGCGGAAATAGAAACAGGTAATTACAACTAAAGTTGGGCGGGGGAAACATGCTACGGGGAGTAACAAATAACATTAGAACGACTGTAGAGAAACATAAGAAATGCTCTAAATCAATTACCAGCAAAATAAGAAAAATAGAAGAACAGGCACACAAGTAATACCATTGCAGGAGTGCAACCCGATCCCACTACATTTGATACCGTTGCAGGCATGCAACCCGCTCCAATTTTCTATATTATCGTTGCAGGCGTGCAACCTGCTCCCATTTCATATATCACCGTTGCAGGCGTGTAACCCGCTCCCATCTCACATTTTTTACTGTTGCTGGCGTGCAACCTGCTCCCATTTCACATATTACCGTTGCAGGCGTGCAACCCGTTCCCATTTCTTTTATCAACACCAATCAAAGAATCCCGGCAAAGGAACAATAGTATTAAAGGAAACATCCCGACAAGGGAACAATAATGATAATAACATCCCGGCAAGGGAACTATAAGATGCTAATATCCCGGCAAGGGAACTATTAGATACTAATATCCCGGCAAGGGAACAATAATAATAATAACATCCCGGCAAGGAAACAATAATAAAATCCTCATATGAAGCGCAATAAACCGAGGCATAATAATTACAATACCAGACTCATTGGCATGCTTGACACCGACGTATAGATACTCGTCACCATGACTATACGTCGTACTTCACAATTAACACGTAACAAATAAGACTCGACTCCTAATCCCTCAAACTAAGGTTAGACCAAACACTTACCTCGATGCCTCGTACACAGTTCAAGCCTCAACTATAGCTTTACCTCTTGATTCCACCACCAATTCGCTCGTATCTAGTCACAAGTTATTTGATTACATCAATGAATGCTAGATAAACAATTTCTAATGCATGAAAATAAGTTTTCTAAAGCTTTTCCGAAAAAGTCAAAAATTGGCCCCGGGCCCACATGGTCAAAACCCGAGGTTCAAACCAAAACCCGACTACCAATTCACCTATGAACTTAAATATATAATTTATTTTGAAATCGAACCTCAAATCGAGGTCCAAATCCCCGAAATTTAAAAAACCTAGGTTCTACCCCAAACACCCAATTTTTCCCATGAAAATCATTGATTTTGAGTTGAAATCATGTTAAAAGATGTTAAGGATTGAAGAAAACTATTTAAAAATGACTTACAATTGATTTGGAGAAGAAGTTGCCTTTGAAAAATCGCCCTAGAGTGATTATGTTTTGAGAAGGTGCGAAAAATGGTTAAAATTTCGTCTAAGTATAAAAATAGCAGGTTGCAGATATGGGAATTGCGAACCCTTTAGAAAATTTGGACTTTCGCATTTGCGAAACATATGTCGCATTTGCGATACACTCAGCATTCCAGCCATCATCGCATTTGCGAGAGGCTGTTCTCAAATGCGAAATCGCATTTGCGAGAGTACAGTCGCATTTGCGACGCAGGCTGCCAGGTCCACTCTTCGCATTTGCGAAGGTTTGTCGCATTTGCGAAGCCTGCAGACCTAATCACACCAGTTGAGGGTCTGCAATTTTCCAAGTCTAAAATCCATCCTGTGGCATATCCAAAACTCACGCGAGCCTTCGGGGCTCCAAACCAAACATGCACACCAACCTAAAAAAATCATATGGACTCGTTCGTGCATTCAAATCACTAAAATAACAACAACTATGAATTTTGCATCAAAATCATGAAATCACTCAAGAACATCAAATTTTCTCAAATAAGGTCCGTTTCACGTCAATTCAAATTCCTTTTTCTTACCAAATTTCACAGATTCAACTTAAATCACATATAAGACCTATATCGGGCTCTGGAACCAAGATACGGGCCCGATACCATCAACTTTCAAACACATTTCATTTTCAAAAACTCATGTATTTTTCAGAAAATAATTTTCTTCAAAAATTTATTTCTCGGGCTAGGGACCTCGGAATTTGATTTCGGGCATACGCCCAAGTCCCATATTTTCTTACGGACCTCCCGGGATCGTCGGAACATGAATCCGGGTCCGTTTACTAAAAATGTTGACTGAAGTCAACTTAAATTCATTTTAAAGGCAAAATTCATTATTTTTCACTGATTTTCATATAATGGCTTTCCGGCTAAGCGCCCGGACTGTACACACAAATCGTGGTGAGGTAAAAAGGAGGTTTTTAGGCCTCGGAACGCTGAATTTGTTTCTAAAACAAGTGATGACTTTTTGGGTCAGATCTTAGGTATCTTACTGATTTTCTATGGAAAATGCTATAAATAGTGTAGACAGAGCCTTCAGAAATCACAAGGAAATTAGAGTCTTGATCAGAAATTTTAAATTACCACACATCGTTTAGTTTTTCCTATGGCTTCCACTTTCTTTAGCTATATTACTACTCTATGGCAAATTTTATTTTCCATAATTCGTAAGATAACAAGCAAATTAGTGAGTACTACAAGAAATAAACCATTATTGCCTCCCGGTCCAAAACCATGGCCAATAGTTGGTTGCATACCTCAAATGGTACTAAACAAGAAGCCAGCGTTTGAGTGGATACACAAACTAATGGAGGAAATGGAGACTGAAATTGCTTGCATTCGTCTTGGTAATATTCATGTCATTCCTGTCACTTCTCCTGAGCTTGCCTGCCTATTTTTAAAGAATCAAGACTCGATTTTCTCATCGAGGCCTATTTGCATGTCCGCCAACCTCGTTAGCAATGGCTACTTGACTTTAGGTTCTCTCCCTATGGGTGATCAATGGATGAAAAGGAGAAGAATCATTTCTTCTCATGTCCTCTCAGCTACATCTTTTCAATGGCTTCGTCGTAAACGAGATGAAGAAGCTGATCATGTTCTTCGATTCGTTTATCATCAGTGCATTAACAAACATCTTGTCATTAACTTGAGGAAAGTGACAAGATACTATTGCGCAAATGTTATTAAGAATATGATTTTCAGCAAGAGATTACTTGGACCATTAGTAGAATCAGAAGAAGAGGAAGAGCAAGTTGATGCAATTTTTACACTTCTTGAATATTTTCATTCTTTTAGTATCTCAGATTACTTACCATGGTTAAGTGGATTTGATTTGGATGGTCACAAGGCAATTATTAAGAAAGCCTTTGCCATAGCAACAAAACACATTGATTATGAAACTGACCGGAGGATTCATATTTGGAAGGATGGCAACAAAACTGCGGAAGAAGACATTCTTGATGTTCTTATCATGCTCAAAGATACTAATGGGAATCCTATGTTGAATGCTAAAGAGATTAAAGCACAAGTCCTTGTGAGTATACTTCCAATCTCTTAAACCATGTGAACAACATAATAAACTTTAAGAATTTTATTATTACCTTTAGTGACGTGCGTTTACTGTTATAAATGTAATGGCAAGTTTAATAATTATGGCTATAAATCTCATGGCAAGTTTAAAGATGATAGAGAAATGAACTATTTGCCTAACTCAACCTCAAAAATTAGGCTCTTAGGGGTAAAAATGACATCAGGTGGACAATTTAAAGGGCTGCTATTTAGAAGTTAACCAGTGTATCCTGAATTTAAGTTTTTCAGTTAGGACAAAATATTTTGAATTATCCTGAAGTTAAGATTTTTAAATTAAAAACTCAGGACAAAACAAGTATTTATTAATCTCTAAATAGCATCCTCGAGAATGGATATATATCATTTGCCCCCTCATAGGGTGAGAATTACCCAAGACTATATAAACAACCCAAATACCCCACATATAGCCAGTGTGAGACACCAGCACCACTATACACGCCCAGGACTCGACATCTGGAGCGTGAACAATATTTGGTCCCAACATTTATGAAATACGAATTTGGTGGGTCTTGCTCTGATACCATAATAAAAAAGAAATGGACTTTGGGCCTAACTCAACCCCAAAACGTAGCTCATGTGACAAGGATTAACCAAGACTGTATAAATAAACCAAACACCTTATTTTCTATGGTCGATGTGGGACACCAACAAAAGATCGTAAGTTTCAAAGTCTTTCTCTTTTTTAAACTTCATATCCAATCAAATGTTAGTCATATAAATCGAAGTAACTGAGTAACATTTTGTTAGGAAGTACTGAATCTCCCTTCAATGTTGCTCAGAACTAATTTATTTTTTTAAAATAATATTAAGGAATTAACATACAACATTACTCAATGGTTTTTCTTAAATTACTTCCTCGATTTCAGGTTATGTGAACTTTTTCTTTTTTAGAGAGTCAGTTTAACTTATCTTTGAGACAAAATTGAACAAGATTAGCTCGATATTCAAAGTTAAAATTTAGATATTCAAAAGCTATGTGAAAAGTATTATAAGTTTCAATTCTTGTCATGTCAATTGAATAAAAATATATTTCAGAATATTGGAAAAGATGTACATAGTTTGAATCTCGAAAAGTAAAGTGTTCACAATAATTGAAACGATGGAGTAATTTTTAAAAGAACTTGGAAAGTATTTTTGAAACATAAGTCTGAAGATCGGTTGTCTGTTTGGATCACATCATTTTATTAGTTTATGTGGAAATGAGACTTGTATTTGTTTGTTTGAAAATATTTCGATTTGATTTTAGAAAAACATAAAGTTTGTTTATAGAAAATCAAATATGATTATTTCGTTTGACCTTCTTGGTTACCAATTATAATGACAGGAATTCATGTTTGCTACGATAGATAATGCCTCATATGCAGTCGAATGGACAATCAAAGAAATGTTGAACCAACCAAAGATAATGCAAAGGGCCATAGAAGAGATTGACAATGTCATTGGGAGCGATAGATTGGTTCAAGAATCTGACTTGTCACAGTTAAATTATGTCAAAGCTTGTATTAAAGAGTCCTTTCGGTTACATCCCTTGGCAGCTTTTAACGTTCCTCATGTGTCTATGTCGGATTCTGTTGTTGGCGAATACTTCATCCCAAAAGGAAGTGTAGTGTTATTAAGCCGTCTTGGACTTGGACGAAACCCTAAAATTTGGGATGATCCCATGAAGTTCAAGCCAGAGCGCCATATCAACGAGAAAGGTGGTGATGTAGTTTTAACTGATTCGGAATTACGTTTGCTATCATTTAGTATTGGACGACGAGGTTGTCCAGGTGTAAAACTTGGCTCAACAATTACCACTATGTTACTTGTTAGGCTTCTTCAAGGGTTTACTTGGAGTTCAGCATCGAGCTCTCGGGGCAATGACTTGACTGATGGTTACCCGGATTGTGCTCTCCATGGCACCATGCCATTTTTTGCTAAGCCAAAACCGCGATTGCCTAAACACATGTACCTTTAAATAAGTAAAATTATGTCATAATAAAGTATGTACGTACACATGATGTATGTGTATATACTTATATAAGATGTTTCTTTTCTACTACAGTATTTATGAGAGGATGAATCAATAATATTAGTATGATTTATATTTTAAATGTGATGTGGCACTCCTTAAGACCAGAATTCATATTTTTTTTTCAATTTTAGTTTTTTTTCCTTGTTTTATGTAAGGAAACTATTCAAAAGTGTCTTTTCCTGTGATCCAAATTGTCTTCATTGAGTTGGTTTTCAGTACACTCATTTCTTCATATCGTTATTTTGCTGCATTAATAGCTATCATGACTACCCTTCTTGTCGCGGCCCAATTCTGATTAGGCCGTGATGGCAACCAGCACCGTCACTAGGCAAACCAACAGTGAAAAATTTAGTGATTTCCATTTCTAATAAATTTTTCAAACATTTAACTTTCCTTAATTTATAGAATTTAATGAATAATGAATGATAAAGTAATCAAAACAATAGGAACTAAATGAAATTATGACAGTAGAGTTACAACCCAAAATCATAAGTTCATTAGTGTGTGCCAGGACCCGGTGTCACAACTATATGAGCATTCTAGTAGAATACATAAAAGAATACTAGTCTACTGTCTGAAATGAAATAAACATAAAATATAACAAAAAGAGAGACTTCGGCTGTTGCAGTACGAACCAGAAGGGTAGCTGCCCATAAATCTCGTAGTAGGGATCAAATGTGTGCGCCGGACTAGGAACCGGATGTACCTGCCTCAGATCCTATACAATTAAGTACAGAAGCGTAGCGTGAGTACATAAATAACATGTACTCAGTGAGTATCTTGTCTAACCTCGAAGAAGTAGTGACGTGGGGTCGACTTTGACACTTACTATGGGCTAACAATAATGTATTAAAATTTTATACTAGACATGGCTTTTATAATAAATGCTGACAGCTCAATAACAGGAAATAATAAATTCTTCTACACAAATATTAAATCCCAAGTTTGGTCTCATCATTTAACAACTTGCATTTAATGAAATTTAAGAAATATCAATTAGGAATAGTTCCAAAGAATTATCAAGCGCAAATTATGCCGAGGTCGTACAGCCCGATCCAACATAATATTTAAACTGTGCACTGCCGAGGGTCGAACGGCACGAACCATAGATGCATCTATTTTAAGCAATTAAATTACCAAGTAGGGGCGTAAATATTTCAAGTACAGCATGATACGGGTCCTAGACTACCCAGAAAATAGCATAATTAGTAGCTACTTATGAACTATCTTCACCTCGTACATACGTAGCCCCCACAAATANGAGCGTCATGAGGATGCCCAGGATTTCATTGATAGGTGCAGGGACAGACTACACAACATGAGGATATTGGAGTCTCATGGTGTTGACTTCACTACTTTCCAACTAGAGGGCAGGGCCCGTAGATGGTGGCAGTCTTATGTTCTCGGCAGGCCAGCGGGTTCTCCTCCCATTACTTGGGGTCAGTTCACACAGCTTTTCCTGGATAGGTATATTCCACCCTCTAAAAGGGAAGAGCTACGGTATCAGTTTGAGCAGCTTGAGCAGAGTCAGATGTTGGTGACCAACTACGAGGCGAGGTTTTCTAAGTTGTCCCGCCATGCACTGATGATACTTCCTACTGACATAGAGAGGGTACGGAGGTTTGTTGCGAGGTTGCATTCTAGCATTAGGGCCAACATGGTCGGAGAGGTTGAGATGGGGACTCCTTATCAGCTGGTAGTGGATATTGCTCGGAGGATTGAGGGCTACCGTCTGAGAGGAGAGAGCAGATGCAGCAGGGACAAGAGGATCGATTCTCTGGAGAGTTTAGAGGGTTCCCGGCTATGGGCAGACGTCAGTTTGGAAGGGTTAGCCCAGCAGGCTCACATATTCAGCACCACCACCACCTCAACGGTGCTCCAGCACGCCCCTATTCTAGTGCCATACCAGAGAGTTCTTACTGCCCGCCAACCATTCAGGGTTCTTCCAGTGGGTATTCAGGTCCCCATGGTTCTTCCAGCTTCCACTTTAGTGCTATAGCAGAGAGTTCATACCGCAGTTTTGAGAATGGCTGAAGTTTAGAACTCAGTTGTCGTAACCTCACCTGCGGAGAGGGAGCCGCAGAAGAGTTGGCAGAGTCCTCATGTGCGAGGGGTTATCCGCACCTACGATGATTGCATAAGCGGAAGAGAGGGCGCAGATGTGAGGCTGAACCGCAGAAGCATGGGGATTTCCACACCTGCGTGAGCGCAGATGTTGTCTCAAGGCCACAAGAGCGAGGTCCGGATTTTAAGTGATGTTCCGCACCGGCGATGGTCTTTCTGCAGGTAGTGTGTTGTAGAAGCGACAATTGGACCGTGGATGCGGTATCACTTGGAAGAAAGTATAAATAGCACTCTTCGCGAATTTTTGCTCATTTTCCCCGTCTTCAAGTCGGGTTTGGAGCTTTTGGA